ACAGTGTGGCCTAAATAAGGTAAGGGAGGGGGGGTTAGCTTATTTAGGCCACACTGTGGCCCAAATAAGGTCACCCAATTTTTAATTGTAAATATATATTTTTTAACATGAAGGTCACCAGGGTGGGGGAGAGAGAGAAAAGACATACTGAAGACAAGACATTTTATGACAAATCCCTACATCCAGTCAGACTAATTAGTTGTGAGTAACCACCAGCGACACATACCTGAGGCAGAGCCCCGTAGTTCCAGATGTAGCCTTTGTGTGGGAAGATGTTCTTCACATATCTCAGCTTGCCCTTCTTGATGTCCTGTTTGATCGGGTTCAGAGACTCCTCTTTGCAGATCTGGGGGAAGGAAAGAGGGAAACAACTATAAAGTTCTGTTGTGTAAGTTGGGTTTTTTGTTTTAAAGAAAATTATCAAGTTTTCGTTTAAATTTATCAAATCTTTCATTTCATTTTATTTCAAAGCGACTAGACCCAAAGCAGGGAGTGTGTGCTATAGAAGTGGTCTTTATTATTATTATTATTATTATTATTATTATTGTTATTATTATCACCAAAAAAAATTTTAAGCAATGGGGGGCAAGCTTCAGGAAAGAAGCAAGCAAAACGGTCACTTTGTGGGTGCTGGGGAAAAGTGAAACTGGCACACAGAAACAAAAGAGAGAAAGTAAAGAAGAAGGACCAACCAATGGCACCATGCAACCACCCTCTACGGAAGGATGGAAGTAAAGAGAAAGGTCACTTGAGTTTCATGTCTACGATAACTGGTACTCATGCCTTCACAAAGCACTATACATTTTATTAAGTCACATGATACTTTGATAGGTTGAATTTATAAGCAGCAGACTAACATTTCCACCTTCCACCATGACACCGTATTATATATAACATTTGTATTAGTAAGACTTTCATGGCACTTGCAACACAATAAGGTCATATATATATATATAAGTGATGAAAATTAGAACAGGTCTTGCAAGGGAGCAACAAACACAAAAAGAAGGAGAGGAAATAAGGACTAATAAATGTTGGAAAGGAAAGAAGGGGCAAACCGCACCAGAGCACCCGCCAACCACCCACACCACAATCCACCATGACCACGGTATTATATTATGTAACAATATGTGACCCAAAATGTATACCACACAAGAACATATAGATCAATGATCTCAGTCTCACCGGTCTCAGGGCGGGACAACCATCGTCACACAGACTGAGTCACATCGACAGATAGATAGCAACATGTCAACTTATCACTGCAAGCTACAACCTTTCCTACCTCTCCTCTCCTTCTCTTCTCCCTCCCCCCCTCTC